TAAACCCCACAAAGTGTGTTTTTGGGGTACCATCAGGACAACTACTCGGGTTTCTAGTCAGCAACCGAGGAATTGAAGCAAGTACAAAGCAGGTTAAAGCCATCATGGATATGAAACCTCCAAAGAAAGTTAAAGACATACAGAAGCTTACAGGATGCATGGCAGCACTCAACAAATTCATCTCCCGACTAGGAGAAAAAGGGCTACCTTTCTTCAAATTATTGAAAAAGATAGGAAATTTTGAATGGACAGAAGAGGCAGCAGAAGCATTTCAAAAGTTAAAAGAATACTTGGCATCATCACCAGTAATGACACCACCAAAAGACAAAGAGGACATGATGCTATACATTACAGCAACCAAGAACGTTGTCAGCACAGCAATTGTGGTTGAGAGAGAAGAACCCAGACACGCATACAAAATGCAAAGACCAGTCTATTACATAAGCGAAGTACTAACAGAATCAAAAGTGAGATACCCACACGTGCAAAAACTACTTTATGCAGTGTTGATATCATCAAGAAAGCTGAGACATTATTTCCATGAACACAAGATTACAGTGGTAACCAATTTTCCACTTTAAGACATTCTACGCAACAAAGATGCAACAGGTCGGATATCAAAATGGGCAGTAGAACTCGATGCTCTCAACCTAGACTTCAAACCAAGAACAGCAATCAAATCTCAAGCATTATCTGACTTCATTGTTGAATGGATAGAAATCAGTCAAAAAGAATCCGAACCAATACTTGATCATTGGAAAATGTATTTTGATGGTTCCCTAAAGTTAGGAGGAGCTGGAGCAGGAATACTATTCATATCACCAGAAGGGAGACAATTAAAATATGTGCTACAAATACTTTGGCAGGCAACTAACAATGAGGCAGAATACGAAGCATTAATACACGGTCTAAGAGTTGCAAGCTCGCTTGGGATCAAAAGACTACTTGTCTACGGTGATTCAGCTGTAGTAATCAATCAAGTTAACAAGGATTGGGATTGTACAAAAGATAATATGGACGCGTACTGTGCAGAAGTCAGAAAATTAGAGAAAATTTTCTAAGGGCTCGAAATCCATCATGTACTAAGAGATTCCAACGTTGCAGCAAATGTGTTAGCCAAATTAGGATCAGATAGAGCAAAAGTACCACCCGGTATATTTGTGGAAGAACTCACAGCCCCATCCATCAAACAACTCGGAAACACAGAAAAAGAGAAGGAGACAACAGATCCAATGGAAATAGATCAAGCAGAAGAACCAGACCAGTCAAGACAAATCATGGTCATACAAAGTGATTAGAGACAAACATACATTGATTTTATCAAAGAGAATAAACTACCCGAAGACAAAGCAGAAGCAACTCGGGTTGTACGAAGAAGCAAAAACTACGTTCTGGTGGGGGATAAACTATACAAAAGAGCATCATCATCAGGAGTACTGCTTAAATGTGTTCCGATAGATAAAGGAAAGGAAATCTTGGATGAAATCCACTCAGGATGCTATGGAAATCATGCAGCCTCTAGGACACTAGTCGGCAAAGCATTCAGAACCGGTTTCTATTGGCCAACAACACTCAAAGATGCAGAAGAGCTCGTCAGAACATGCAAGAATTGCCAAATGTTTGCTAGGCAATCACATGTGCTGGCTCACAACTTAATATGCATACCGCCGGCTTGGCTGTTCTCATGCTGGGGGCTAGATCAAGTCGGACCACTCAAAAAAGCAAAAGAGGGCTTCGAATACATATTTGTGGCAATTGACAAATTTACAAAGTGGATTGAATACAAACCTTTGGTCAAATACGGTGCAGAGAAGGCAGTGGAATTCATACAAGACATCATGCATAGGTTCGGCATGCCCAACAGAATAATCACAGATCTTGGTTCACCATTTACAAAGAAGAGAATTCCAATCTTCGGGCAAGAGATTGTGGGATAGAAATCGACTTTAAGTCGAAGAGCACACCAAGCAGCCAATGGACAAGTCGAAAAGAGCAAATGGACTCATATTACAAGGTTTAAAACCAAGATTATATGAAGATTTGAAAGATTATGGTGGAAAATGGATCGACGAATTACCAAAAGTGGTATGGGGTCTAAGAACCCAGATCAGCAGAGCAACTGGATACTCACCGTTCTTTTCCGGTCTCACGAATCGAGGCGGCGGTACTACCAAATTACTTAATATGACTATCTCCAAGAATAGAACAATATGAAGAAGGCAAAGCAGAAGAAACAAGGCGGTTAGAAATTGATTCAATAGAAGAAATAAGAGACAGTGCAAACATACAAAATGCAAGATATCAGCAAGGGTTACGAAGACATTATGACAAAAGTACTCAACCCCGATCGCTAAAGCCAGGGGACTCAGTACTACGACTAATCCAGAAGAAAGATGGACGACACAAACTACTCAGTCCATGGGAAGGACCCTTCATCGTGAAGACGGCAACAGGACCCGACACATACGAGTTGATGACTCCAGATGAAATACCTGTAAAGAACACTTGGCATATCAGCCAGCTCAAAAGATTCTACAATTAAGTACAACATATTGTACTCAAGTTTCAAGAGAAATAAAACAGAGATTATTCAAGAAGAACAGCTTCAAATATGAGCCATGTCCAACGGACAGAACCAACCCGTAATCAGGTTGGGGAAAAAGGGCTTCCTCATAATGTACCAACCCGGAAACGGTTGCGCTACACGGGCAATCTTGTCACTCAACCATATAGAGATGGTCTGACTGACGGCCAACGGCCAAATAGCTTCTTGGGTAAGGAGACCCAAGCTAGCATTTGTCACTCTACCATAAAGAGATGGTACGACTGACAGCCCTATCCAACGGATAGAACCAACCCATAATCAGGTTGGGGAAAAGGGGCAGCCCTGCAAATAGCTCAACCCAGAAACGGTTGTTGCTATACGGGTGCAATCGCTTACCCCAAGAGCTAGTACGATTGCTTACTTACCCTGCAAACAGCCAACCTGGAAACGGTTGTGCTATACGGGTCCGATCGCCTACCCCAAGAGTGGTACGATCGAATACTTCGCCCAAGAAGCGGCACAAGCACTCCAACAACTCGGTCACCTACCCCAAGAGTGGTACGATCGACTACTTCGCCCAAGAAACGGCACAAGCACTCCAACAACTTGGTCGCCTACCCCAAGAGTGGTACGATCGACTACTTCACCCAAGAAGTGGCACAAGCACTCCAACAACTCGGTCGCCTACCCCAAGAGTGGTACGATCGACTACTTCGCCCAAGAAATGGCACAAGCACTCCAACAACTCGGTCGCCTACCCCAAGAGTGGTACGATCGACTACTTCGCCCAAGAAGCGGCACAAGCACTCCAACAGCTCGGTCGCCTACCCCAAGAGTGGTACGATCAACTACTTCGCCCAGAGAGGGACATAATCACTAAAACAACTCGGTCGCCTACCCCAAGAGCGGTACAATCGACTACTTTGACCAGAGAAGAGCACAAGCACTCCAACAACTCGGTCGCCCACCCCAAGAGTGGTATGATCGAATACTTCACCCAAGGAGCGGCACAAACACTCCAATAGCTCGGTCGCCTACCCCAAGAGCGGTACGATCGACTACTTCGACCAGAGAAGAGCACAAGCACTCCAACAACTCGGTCGCCCACCCCAAGAGTGGTATGATCGAATACTTCGCCCAAGGAGCGGCACAAACACTCCAACAACTCGGTCGCCTACAACAAGAGCGGTACGATCGACTACTTCGCCCAAGGAGCGGCACAATCAGCAAAAACAACTTGGCCGTTTACTCCAAGAGCAGTATAATCAACCACTTCACCCCAAAAGCGGCACAAATAACAATTACAACTCTAGAGCTTACCCTCAGAACTATCCTGCCTCAAGAATGACGCAGATCTACAGTACAAATCAGTCGATTACCCCAAGAAAAAGTATAATCAACCTTTTTAGCTCTACTAGATCACCAAGAAGAAACAAGCTATGGCAGAGCACGAAAAAGTCACAAGGAAAGACAGGGCAAAACTTGTCCATATTATTCAAAGACATCTAAGAAGAAAAGAAAGACAGGACGAAGCCTGCTCACATCTTAAAAATTCAGAGACAAAGTATATTACAAGGACATCAAAAGAAGGTTGACTTTTCACATATGTTCAAGAAGACGGAAGAGAAGGAGGAAGTACATTCATTTGATCAAGAATTTGGTCTGATAGACCACTAAGCTATACTTTGGCCTCCTCCCAGTGTCTTGAAAACTCAGCCATTACAGAAGCTTCAGTAATTCGCTCAAAAGGAGCATCAGGGGCAACAACCTGGACATACGAAACCACATTGTTGATGCACCGGTAAAAGCCACCCTTCACAAAATCATAAAACCGGGAAAAAAGCACCGGTAATCCCTGCTCGGCAAAGACCTGAAGGAACAAGAAGAAATTCCCAGAACTCCACCATGAAGTACTCAGAGGCTTATCAATCTCAAGATCACTGATACTAAGTCTTTTCAGTACTAGCAAGAACATGAAGTCTGACAAAACAACAATTTATAACGAGTTGTTTGCACGAGAGCCAGACAAAGCACTCGAAGACAATCTCTCAAGACGACGTTCTACACATACCGAGTTGTTTACATGGCACAAACGAAAGCCAGACAAAGCACTCCACCTATCAAAGAGTCATTTCATGACAAATGGAAACAACTCGTCTACTCAAAGCTACGGATACGTACCACGAAGCAACTACTCGGAAGAAATCCTGATCACGCACACAATTCATCTGATGAATAAGTAAAGCAGAGACATCCACACACAGAAACAAAAGAAGCCACATCAAAAGAAAAGGAAAAGAGAAATTGGGAAAACAAAGTTTATGATGATCATAGAAAAACACGACTACTACATACATCAAATCACCAAGATAAATCTACGACCGGACAATCTGCCCTTCGATATCCTTTACGCCAACATCAAAGCGAGGGCTAATGACAACGCATCCAGCCATCATCAATTCCTCGCCGGAGACCCGCTACCCCCAGAGTTGACATCATCGTCATCTTCAACAGCAAGGGCGCCCCAGTCGACTTCATCTTCGGCGGCGAGCGCCTCCCAATCAACCTCATCTTCACTGTCACTGCTAAGGACGATCAAATCCACCCTTGTCGAAGTAGCGTCAGCAACAGAGAGGGGGACAAGAGTGACCACAGGAGCAGCCGAGGGATCCTCCTTCTTCTGCAGAGGGACAACCGGCGCTGATGTCCCAACAAGGGGAGCCTTCCCCACCACCAGAGGGGCTGGCAATGAAGGCGACGACGAAGACCTTCCACTCGACGATGCCGCCATGGCCGTCCTCGGAGAGCAAACAAGCGAAGAACGCGACACCTTACGGACACTCTGCCTATGGATGAACTTCTTCTTCGTCATTATGGCTATGGCGAAACAATTGTGGAGTGGCCAGTTAAATAGAGACCAAATCACCATCCTAGGCAGTTCAACAGCCTCCTCGAGATAAGGATGGAGTTAAAACTTTCTTCATAAAAGGTTAAGTGCGGAGTTAATTCCTTCATCAAAACCAATATGGTGATTCGGCTTCTACCGTCAACCACACGACGATCCATTTACTGACACAGCTAAAAAGACGGAAGACACAAATCTACACAACGGTACGATCCAATGGGCAGATTTCAGACTTATCCATCCAGCACCACGGCAGAGTTTTCATATTACTACAAGAACAATCCGTCAACCATGAAGAAACAAAGGGCCACCTCGCAAGGAACAAAAGAACCCGGTTATTAAAGAAAGAACTCGGGAGCCTCATGAATAACCAGGATTACAGCAGAAAAATGAATGACAACTCTGAAGACAAGAATTCTTTACATTACAAATGGCTTCAAAAATAGAAGATTACACATCTTACAAGACCCAATGAACTCGGCACTACGACAAGCAAGTTAGCAAAAAGGAGCCCGGACACAACTAGGCTCTGGAATGACTACGTGCTCCAATTTGCTACTCGGTAGAACAAACCGCGCTCGGCTACACTGTTTTCTTCAAAGGACGGACGTAGTGCATCCAAGGTGGAAATCAGCAGCACGGCGAGATAACATAGACCAGGGGAAGTCGGCAGGCATCTGTCTACCCAAGCCCATCGTGATGTAGGATCAGGTGTTGATCTGCACCGGACAGTCTCAAGACAGACGGCGAGGATCAACCTAGAACTACCGGATGAAGGAACGAAGCCCACATCACAAGACTTCCACCAACTACCACCACATACTTCCAAGTACAATGCCGCTGCGGGATTAGTCTACCTCTAATCCCTATCACAAGACTTCCTCCAGCTACAACAAAATATACAAGAACTACAAAATACGCCCGGAGGCTGCTCTACTTCACACACTATCATATTCATAACTACAGAAGACTTCAGAACAGGCAACAAAAGGCTCGATGAATCAAAGCAACACTCAGGAAGGGCATTTATAGGCAAAAGAAGCGGTGCACATGGACCTAGAGCACCAACAGAAGAAATCTAACAAAGGACACAATGAAAAGACAGAATTCAATGAAAGAGGACTCTGGCGTGAAAGAACGGCACTCAAGGACAAGCATATCCAAGAGAATATTCCACAAGCAACAATACAACCCGTGAAGACATGCATTGAATTCTCCAACAACCAGAATGACAACAACAATAAGTAACCGAACAAACAACTCGGAGACGTGTGAAGGATCACATACAAAATTACAGTGTCAAAGGATTATAGTTGAAAAAGAACTCGGACGAAGAAAAATTATAAATCTCATTGATCGAAGACAAATACAAAGGTTACAGATGGCCAAACAGGACCGGATAAACTCAGACATAAGATAGAGACAAGATTCTTAAATATTGTAACAAGAAACCTAGTGGCGACAGCAGCGACAACTTGGACGCAGAAGAACAGATAGAGCAGCATGATCATTACCAACCAAGCATAAGCCTAGGGGCTGCTCAACCTAACACACCAGCATATCTACGAATGAAGAAAGAATTGAAGAAGAATTTTCCTACTCAAGGCAGAACCACAACCAGCAAAGAATGTATTTATAGCAAACCAGAGGTAAACAAGGCTAAAGATCACAAGAAAGAGAGAGGAAAAGAACAAAAGAGCAAAGCAACAAAGGCGAATAGTACCCAAAAGCAAGATTCCTGACAAAAAGTAAAAGAAGACGCTCACTCATGGCTATACAAGACCCATCCGTGACCAGCAAAAGACAAAGATCAAAGAAGTACAAATCAAGACCCTTCTTCCGGCTTCTTTTCAACAGAAAAGAACCCGGAGAAGGCTCGGGGGCTACAAGTACCTACCACAGAAAAACATATTTTCAAAATTTTTGACCCTCCAGCTTTTTGTACCAAAAAACAGAAGGCTCGGAGGCTACACTCAATGAGTGCAATTTTTGCAAAATTGCACTCAAAGGAAAAAGAACCCGGAGGACATCAAGCAAAAGTGCACATTAGCCAAAAGAAGAATCAAAGAAGACCATCTCAAGATTTCACTTCAAGAAGGACCCGGATCAAGACTACAACTCGGCCCTTGAAGCTCAATCATGAAATGCTCAGGGGCTTGTCGATGGGGAACCCTATGGGCCCCCCATGGACCATACTGCAGGGAGGTAGACCTTGGTAACAAGGCCTACAACCCAATGGCCAAGAAGAACGCGAAGCAAAGCAACGCGCAAAACCGAAACTCCAACGCAAACTATACAAGGAAAGGCGCCCGAAGCGTAGCTTAGGACTCTGACCTTGTATCCGAATAGGACACAAACAACGCCTCTCAGCGCCTGGACAATAAAGGGCTGGTGAGGGTACCCATTGTAAAGAGAACGCATACCTGATACTCAAAGCAATACAACGCAAACAGGCTAACGCCAAAACTGGACGTAAGGTTATTACTCAACCAAGTCGAGGGCCTGAACCAGTATAAATCGTGAGTCTCTTTGCGTAACCGCCGAATTCCGCTATTCGCCGAAGCCCGAACAACTGTCCCGGGTACCCCCGTGGCAGGCTATCGGTGGTAAAACATCGACAGTACCCTGACACTGCCATCCTTCTATGTCCTAGCTCTAATTTTCCATGGGCAGCCCTTGGAACTGCAGTGGCCCCTAAACCTCTCCTTGTCAGACTTCTCTGTTCCCAATTAAAACTCATTCACAATAGCATGCTGCTTAACCGCCATCCTAAAATCATCCATGCAAGGATACAGTGTCCCAACACTCATGTCAGGGTTGTCTCTATCCCAACCAAACATTGGCTCATCTCCTAGGTCATCATTAACAGGGATTGCTGCCTCATTCATTTCATCCTCCACATCAGCAGGTATGTTAGGAATAGGAACCTCATCTGCAGGAGCCTCATTTGCTGCCTTGAATCCAAAAGCCTCATAGATTTGATCCTCATCTACCACAGCATTAGCTTCACCATCACAGTTGTCATCAGCCAATATAGTCAATGTGTTCCAATCAACCACATTTTCTTCAGCTCTACCTTCTTCAGGAGTACTACAAATGTCACCTAAGCCTTCTGCATTCTCTGCATGTCCTGCATTTGTCACACCAGATTGGACAGTAGTAGTAGAAGACCCACCTTTGTTTGCTCTGCTAACAACATCATTCAGACCAACTGCATCTTTCTCAACAACATCACAGCTAACATGCATTACCTTCTCATCCATCCTAGACATTATCATCTCCTCAAATTGATCACTGCTAGTAACCTTCCACTCTGTTCCACTGTCAATGTCAACACCCAAAATAAGCAGTTGCTGACTGCGGCCCCAAATGATCTTGTTGGCCATATCATCTACAAAGCTATTCAGTGTGTACATATTGCTACTGTCAAACCACAGGTCATGTTCTTGAGCATCTAGGTCAACCACTCCATAGTCGTTAACCAAAGTGTATTTATCAACGCTAACATGGATTCTAAAAGCATTGCCAGGATCAATCCTAACAGTGACAAGCAAAACAAATAAATTGAGAGTTAGGACATCCCTCACATACGGGATCCCCTCACATACATGCCATAACAATGAAACATACCACGGGGGGGCACGGAGACAACACCATCGTGGCTAATGGTTTGCTCTACATCCGAATCCTACATCAACACACGAAAATTAGGAAACCCTAGCATCAGGAATCCCCCCATTCACAGATGCCGCGCGTAGGTAGAAGAAGGAAGTAGATCTAACCTTGCAGACGTCGTGCCGTCGAGCTCCCGCCTGCCCGCCTCGAGCTCACGCCGCCACGGGGAATGAAAGGGGAGGGACGGGAAAATAGCGAGTGGACTGAGCAGATGGGAGGAGACGGCGCTTGTTAAGCAATACACGGCGGGGGCAGAATGGTCTTTTGCCTTCGGTCTTCGAGCGTCAACGGCATGTTCCTAAGTTGGCTGGCTGATCTGGCATGCCACGTCAGCAAAAATGACAAAATATTAGACGAGTTACTATTTTCTGGGACATTTTTGTAGTTGCCACCATAAAGTTGGCAATGAGAGAGGCGGCCTCCGTGAGAGTAGCAAATAATTAGATGGCCCCCCTGATGCGACGCCCTCCGCCAGTTCCCTCCTCGTCCATCCCCGCCTCCGCCACCACCCGTCCCTCCTCCACACATGGCGGAGAGGGCCCTCCCGCCAGCGGTGCCGGCGTCGCCCGAGCCGGCCTCCTCCTCCGTGGTCTCCACTGCGTTCGGCTCGCCGCTTGAGCCCGTCGCCACGGCGGCGGCGACGCCCACGCACGACACGTACGTGGTGCAGGTGCAGAAGGACCAGATATACCGCGTCCCGCCCCCGAGAACGCTTACCTTGCTGAGCGCTACCGGAACGAGCGCGGCGGCGGGGGCAACAAGAAGCGCGGGACTAGCAGCGGCCAGGGGTCGGCCGCGTGCTCCCCGTGCGTCCTGCGCACGCTCGGGGCGCTGCTGGCGGCCGCCGCGCTGGTGGGCGCCGCCGTCCTCATCTCCCTCGTCATCTCCCTCGTCGTGCTGCGGCCGGGCGTCCCGGGCTTCTCCGTCGACCGGATCACCGTGATCAACTCGACGCAGCAGCAGCGCGTGGACTACGACGTCTTCCTCACGGCGGTGAACCCCAACAAGATGACGGCGCTGTGGTACAGGAGCGGCACGGCGAGGCTGACGCACCACGGGACGACCCTCGCCAAGGGCGACGTCGGGCAGCCCGCGGACGGCGGCGAGGACGCCACCGACTTCAGCGTGCTGCTGCAGGGGGTGAAGCACAACGGCCGCTTGCCCAGGGCGGTGGAGAAGGGGTTCAGCGGGTCCAAGGACCACCTCGTGCTCCAGCTCGCCGTGGAGGTCACCGTGCAGGTGCACGTCGGCGCGCTCGGGTTCGGGCAGAGGAGGCTGGCCGTGGACTACGGGATCACCGCCGCCGGGCTGAGCAAGGACGTGCACATTGCGTCGCAGAATTGCAAGAGCAGCTTCCGGAACTGACGACGCGCGCGCGCCCCCCCCATCGCCAGGGGGGGGTGGGCGCTTGTGGTCTGGAACTCTGGATTGTGGGAAATGGAAATTGACGCCGCGCGCGGTCATGTATGGCGGCGTGCAAGCCAATGGGGAAGGAAGATCGTGCTCGCGCGCCTTATGTAAAATGTTGTGAAATTCTTGAGACTTTGGTGTAAGTTGTCACGAACTGAATCATGGTGTTGAAGGCCGGATCACAGCAACACGTACTATATGTTTTGCCGGCGCAATGCTGGTCTGCTCACTGCTGGCCATATATGATCATCACGAACGTTGCTTGAAAACCAGCAAGCACGGCCACTGCGTCGGCCGTCGAGTGTGGTTTGACTTCCGACGGGAGCAACGGCAGCGCTGTTCACGTTGCACAGATGAATATGAGACATCACGCATTCATGCTCGTGGATCCGAGTGGCCGCCCGGTGCAGGGCGCTCAGTAAGTCAGTATCGACGTGGGCGTATTCGTCTCAAAGCCCGACCTCGGGACGCATCGTTACGGGCCAACCATGGCGTGCTTCTGATCCATGCTGGTCCCGCGTGTTACCCGATGGCTGGCGACGGCGAGAACACCGCAGTCCTATATCTTCTGCTTCTCTTTCAGCCGAGTCAAATTTTCTGAATTTTCAATGCGTTTTTAGGCTTCTTGTAACAAAGCGGGGCATGAGCTCGCTGTTATGGGTCTGTCGTGTGTTGAAGGGGAGGAGCACATTTTGTGCAATGTTCCTGTAAACATACATGTTCTGGACTTCTGGTTGCTGACGATTTGTCAGCAAGTATGCAATGAATTGACCCGGATTAAAAAAAAAACAATAATGGGTTGCGTAGAGTGCAAACGGGCCCAAGCTGTTCGGACTCTCTTTAGATTTAGCCCACGGATAGTGCTAAAAAAAGATTCAGCCCACGGGCCCATTCCTCCCTGAGCAAACGTCCAGCTGCATGTCAAGCGAACGAAAGCATATAGAAAGCGAGCTGGATACTGATTAGTGGTTACTGAATGCCTGAATGGTAGTATTGAACAAAAGGCGAGCTGGAATTTTGCAATGTTTCAATGATTCATTTCATGTTTACGCATTGTAGCATGCACCTATGACCTCTTTTGCTACTGCAACGTTCAGATCGGCGGCGCCAAGTTGACGCCACTGCCGAAACGGGCCAGGGATTAAGATTTGTACAGTGACTGAAAAATACTCCCTGGTTGGAATGAACCACACGACCCATATCCCATGTAGACATGCACACGAGACGACCCAGAATTTTCCCGAGTCTCGCTGAGCGATGGGCCTTTAATTTCTACTGGCTTGGGCTCCCCACGTCGTTATGATGGACCTCTGCAAAAATCCGGAGGGTAGATTACGTTGGCCGTGGCCCGTCCTGGCACACTTGTTGACCCTCTTCGCTTCTTCGTGGCGACAACCAGAATGTCACTGCCGGGTCCCGACGTCCCACCGGGCTCCAATGAAAACGGATCGGATACGAACGGATTATTGTATTTGTTTTCATATTTCTATTTGAATTTGGATTCGGACACAAATAGCTATCGGATACATATACGGATACGGATTGTCTCGGTTACGGATACGAATAATGATTATCGAATACGGTATGAATCGGATTCGGAGAATGTCGGAAACAAATATTTATTCGGATAATGAGTAAAGACAACATTTATATATATCATAGTTGCGTTAACAATTACACCACTATATGAATCCAGAATCCATCTAGATTAAGCCTAAAGAGTAAAGCAACAAATAAGTGATAAGATACAGATACACAAAACATAAAGGGCGATAATTAAATTTGGAAGACTAAACTACGTGACAGACATAACTTGCGTTATCAAATATTTATATATTAATTTTCATTATTTATCTTGGAAAACAAAATTTTAAAACACGAAAGGGGAGAGAAGTGACAGACATGACTAGCGCTGCAAAATATTTTTATATTAATTTTCATTATTTATCTTGGAAAAATAAATTAAAAAAACACAAAAGAGGAAAGAAATATGAACCAGGTAGGACACATGTTCTGTAATCAACGTGATAAATATGAAAGTGGATGCGGACGCACGCCGTGACTGCGTCTGCCAACTGCCAAGGGTCACACAGGGAGGTTGGCTGCTGGGCTGTCTAGTGGATGTCGCCTGTGGGCCTGTGCTTCACTGCTTCAGGGAACTATGCGCTGGGCGCCTGGGCTGCTGGCTGGCCTGCAGTGCTGGTCGGATATATCCGATTTTTATGCGGATTATCCGATATCCGCTGGATATCGATGATATTACATTCGTATTTGGTATCCGCATAAAATATATGTTTTATTATCCGTATCCGAAAAAAACTACGGATATCCAAGTAACTATCAACATTTGTGTTCATATTTGTTTGGTCGAACGATCGAATAAATATCCGTACCGTTTTCATCTGTAGCTCCAACACAGGCTAGCACAGCTCTCGCCGCCGTTCGCAGGCAGGACTTAAAGCCGGCCGAGGCCTTCTTCGTATCCGTCGGCAACTTCCGGTTGGTGGCTTGACGGCGCCAATGCAGAAACGGGCCATGGCCTGACGGCTCATCCTTTTCTTTCGTCCCTTCAGAGTTCAGATTCTTCAGAACGAACGGGGCTGAGATTGCTGGATTGACACTTGTCAGGAGATCGCAAAGATGAGCCAGGTCAACTATGGCAGTGTGGCGACTGACAGATACTTGAGCGCTGCCGACATGGCTTTGGGCACTGAAAAAAAATACCCCGTGCGCCAGCTCCTCCTGCCGCCGGCCCACTCGCCCAGACCCGCCCCGTGATTGTGTTAAGAATCAGCATGGCATGCACGCACACACGCACATGTCTGGTTCAGTGTACCAATCTGCTGGAGCACAGGTTCTCAAAGGTAGGGTTCATGCACCATGAGCACAGCTTCACTTTCATCAGAGGTTCAGAGTTTCAGGTTCCACCCCATCATCCATCTTTCTGCACGCAGCTCGATAATCAACCAACAAGGGCTAGGCCAGCTACTCATAAATAAAACCAATGATTCATCTTTTATTTTTCTTTTAGCCTTACATTACAGTTACAGTAAAACAGCTTAGATCAGTTCCGGCCGAATTCGCACAGGATTCCTTCTGATGTTTGGAGTTTGGCAGGTGACAACCGAGCAAGTAGTCAATCAGATCAGGATTCTCTGGCTCATACTTCACCCACTTCCAGCCACAGACTCCAGCAAAGGCAGCAGTTTGGGCACCAATCTCGCATTTAAAACGCAGTCAACAAAGCAAATGAAACCCCAAACGAAACGGCTTATGGAAACCTAGCATAGCCATGATAAAAAAGCTTGATAAAGCATGAACATCAGCTTGCTTTACACAGATCAATGCTAGCTTACCAAGCTATACACCGATATGTCATGCACTACTAAAAAAACGATTCGTGACGATGCCTTCCTTTCTTTGCAGGGGCAGCTCAAAAAATGATTCGTGGCGATGCCTTTCTTTCTTTGTAGGGGTGGCTCTATATTAAGCCGCTCCTATAAATGGTTGCCAAATGAGCCGCCCTTACAAATAGATTTGTAGGGGTGTCCGGTGTTATCAGCCGACCCTACAAATGACCCGATTTGTAGGGGCGACTCTATATCCAGCCGACCCTACAAATCTGATGATTTATAGGGACGACTCAATATTGAACAGTCCCTACAAATAGACACCGAGTATTAAAAATTAAGTACTAAAATTTAAATTTTGTAAATAACTTCGGATGGAGAAATAACCAAAATGAAAGTTGTAGATCTCGAAAAGTTATGAAACTTTGTAGTTGACAATTTTTTGATTTGAAATTATCTTGTCAAGGAAAACTACGTTTGAATTTCTAAAAATTTGAAATTTTAATTTTTTAAACGACATCGGATGGACATACAGTAAAAATGAAAGTTGTAGATCTTGAAAAGTTATGAAACTTTGTAGTTGATAACTTTCTTATTTGAAATCATATTGTCGTGGAAAACTATGTTGGAATTTTTCAAATTTGAAATTCAAATTTTATAAGTAACCTCGGATGGAGAAACTATCAAAATAAAAGTTGTAGATCTCGAAAAGTTATAAAACTTTGTAGTTGACAAATTTTTCATTTGAATTAGTTTAGGACCTCAAACAATCAATTTATGCTCAGTTTTATATAATATGTGGGGAACCAAAATGGACTGTAGACACAAGTGATCATGAGTGCAGTGGTAGAGGAGTTTGCGCGCGAGGAAGAGGTTGCGGGTTCGAATACCGGTCGACGCAAAGTGTGCAAAAATCATGAAAAATGCTGCAACCATAGAGCAGGTGTGTGGCTGCCAGTGGGGACCTTCTCAAATTAAAAAAATTGCTATCTTTTGTCCCTTTTTTTGTGATTTCTGGAAATTAATTTATAGGGGCGGCTCAATATACAGCCGTCCCTACAAATCGATTTATAGGGACGGCTGATAACACCAGCTGTCTCTATAAATCGATTTGTACATGATTTATAGAGACGCTTGATAGAGACGACTGAGCAAACTGTCCCTACAGAGTCTCTAGAGCCGCCCCTATAAATATTATATGACTTAGTGATGATCGAGCCTATACCAGCCTAGAGCCTACGTGATTGATACATTATCCCTACGAGGGTAGCCTTTTCTTGCAAAGTGAATCTTCTTGTCATGCCCAACTCTTGGGTTGGATTGTTGGATGGATCTCCCTTACATCCCGACTCTCTTTTTTCAACGGAACAATTTTTTTAGTTTTGAACTAATCCTTCCATTAGCCCACAACAATAACGCTCCCTTTTCTAGGTCTCCAGCCTTCTCTGAGATCAGCAAGACGAAGTCAACACAAAGGCTACGCGATGGGCCATCATCACATTGGCAGTGGGCAACCCTGCGCAATCTCTTTGAGTGCGTCTAATTAATAGCACCGCGTTGACATTGCGCGCGATAGATATTATGGGGTTGACCTGACCTGACAAT